ACATGTCTACACTAAGCGTCATTTCATTTTATAAATTTCACTCACTTCTGATACCCCAAAACAGATCCAAGGGTTTCCCAAATCCTCCCTGATACCCCAAAACAGATCCAAGCGTTGCCCAAATTCTCCGGATTCTTAAGCCGTGGCATGCGTAACATCATGTGATACCTTTTTTAACCTCTGGTTGCCTACATTAATGCCACCGGTTTTTTCAAACATGCACCTTCAATAAATTCAAACATTGGATATGCCCGACCTCTCAGTCGCAAAAATCGAAATCCTCAGAATTGGAAGACATGTCTTTCTTCAGAATGGCAACACCTCCTCGTAAGCATACGTCTGCTTCCATTGGCCCATCAATTTCAAGAATGCCTAATCCCTCCTTTTTTCGGTGCATTTGCAATGCGATTCAAACTGCCCCCCAAACCTTGAAATCCTCAGAATAATCAGGATTCCGAACCAAAAGAGCCCAAGACGTCTTCATTGAGGCATAATCATAGTATCATGGGCCCCAAAACCCTATTCTGATATTAAGGCCCCTTATTGCTCGTACTGTGCTGAAGGGAATCGCACACCACTTCCCAAACCCTAGGCCCTCAAATCCCTGAAGCCTAAACCCTAAACCCTAAACCCCCCTGAAGCCCGAAGCTCTAAAGCCTAGAGCCTAAAGCCTAAACCCCTCAACCCTAAAACCCTAAACCCCTAAAAGCCCCATACACCCTCCATACCATGAATCCCTGAAACCTAAAGAAAGCAAGCCCTAAAACCTAGACGCTACAGCCCTAAACCCTGAACCTTAAAAGACCTAAACTGGCCCCGCACCCCAAGAACCCTGAAGCCCCAAACCCGCAAACCCTATAAGCCCGAAAACACCCCCTAAACCCTAAACCCTAAACCCCTAAACCCCTAAACCCTAAACCCCAAACCCTAAACCCTAAACCGTGCATCCCAGGTACGGCCGGTAGCCTTGCCAACCAAAGCTAACGACAGCTTCAGGGTCTCGGCATCGATCACTCCTGGGCTCTAACCCTAAGGGTCCAAGCACCCAAATACTAGGGTTTCAAGGTCCAAAAACCATTCAGAGTATGGATTTTGGGGCCTAAGACCTTACTATTTTGGTACTCGGACCCTCTGGGTAAGGAGGTTTAGGATTCCTGGAAGATTTCTAGGGTTTAGGGTCTAGGGTTTTGGGTTTCGGG